TTACCTAGACCCAGCTTCTCTCCCCACCGTCGACCCCGCGGGCCGGCAGAGGCTCAGGGCTGACACCCAGGCCCCAGGAGCCTCGGCAGACACGTTCGTGACAGCAGCCGGCCGGCCCCACGAGGTCGCCGGGGGCCGCGGGATGCTGTTCCCCTGTTGCCAGCGTCAGCACTGACGCGGGGCGCTGAACGCTTCGCGCTCTTTCCAGTACCCTCGTCCCCTGTGAGTCTAATTGGAAGCTATGAGGGCGGACCCACTGTCAGCGAAAGTCAAAGAGTTAACAACTCAAAGAGGACACAGAGGGAAGAGAAAAAGAAAAAAAGACCTCCAAACTAATTCAAACTAAGACGGCAGTAATTTTACTTAACATCGTAAAAGTTGGAGAGATTCCTTAAAGCCTGGGATTCACAGTGCAACTTTTGAAACATGTGCAATGCCTACAGGATCAGGTCTGAGAGAGGCCTAAGGTGGTGGGGGCGGGTGTCGCAGAAGAACGCCACCTCCACCAAGAGAGGGGGCCCCGGCCAGTGGCTGAGCGTCCCCCCTCCGTCCTTCAGGGATTGTGAAAGTAGCTGGAGGTGGCTGTGGGGGTATTGTGCTCCGTGCACAGTCATGCCCTCTCCTCCTTTAGCAAGGAAGAAGGGCTTGGCAGGGGGAGCTCAGGAACCGGAATGAAAGTTCAGGTTGGAAGGTGGGGCCCAAAGGGGAAGGCAGAAGCAAACTCTTCCACCGAAGAATCGAGTTAGAAAACTCCCTCGCTTTCCCCGAGACCGTCAGGAGACACCCAACAATTGGCAGCCCAAGCCGAACGGCTCCGAAGGCAGCTGGGGCACTGAAACAGAGCGCAATGGACACGAAAGGTTTTCGGAGGAGAGCTCACAGGTGCCCCCACCACCCCGTTTAAAAGTGGCTGAAGGAAGTGTTTTCCGGGAAACTGAAAGTGACAGGCAAAACTTATAAAAAGATGCTCCGGTTCCCTCTTGGGCGTGCCACGGCGTCAGGCCTGTTTTCTTTCTCTTGACATCTAGATTAAATGACCCTTCGGTTACACCCGGAGTCGTCAAAGCAAGTCTATTAGCGACTGTTCTGTTCGGAAACTTTTCAAACGGGAGTTCTCCGCCATCTGTTACTTGGTCTCTAAACCCGATCCGGCACCCCCGCCCGAAACCCTTTGGTGACTGCCCCCATCTCCCACCAGCCTTGGGGGTGGGGAGGGGAGGGACGGAGCCGTCGCTGGATCCGCGGGGGTGCGGCGGGGAGAGGGAGGAGCGAGATCGCGCCCCCAAAGGAGCGCGGGGCGCGAAGGTGTGGTGGAGGCCCCGAGGCCGGAGGTCAGAGGGACCCAAGCGACGACCGCGCGGCGCGGGCAGGGGGGGTGGGGGGCGCGGGAGCCCAGCCGGACGCGCAGCGCGCGGGGGGCGGGCGGGGAGGTCTGGCTGGCGGCGGGCGGTGGGAGTAGCGCCCCGGCTCCCAGTCCCCTCTAAGCTGCTCCAGCCTCCCTAGCCGGCCCCTCCAAGGCAGGGTCACAGAGCCCGGTCGCCCCTGGCCTTGCCGACGTCATTTTTAACCGTTCGGGACTCGTGAGCAAGAACTAATAAGTGGAGATCCCAGCCAGGGAGTGTCAGCTTTTCGGTTTCACTTCGGGCTTCTTTTTAAATGGCTCTGCTCCGGCAAACGAATCGTGAGTGAGGCCGGGCACCTCAGCTCCGGCGCCCGCAGCGGGAACGCAGTTCCCGTCCGAGGCCAGGGCCGGGGGGCGCCGAGGTCGCCGCCGTTATGGACGCCCAGGCGGCCGAGGGCAGCGGGTCGGCGCGGGGCGCTCCCGGCCGGGAGCCACCGACGGCCGGGGTCCGGGAGGTAACTACGTTGATAAAAGGCTCTCGGATTTTCATTTACTTCTGTTGCTTCTCCATTTCTCTAAGCTCCTTCTCTGCTCTGTATTATTTGATTTTCTATTATAGACATTTATTTCATGGGAAATCAGAAAGTTTGCTAAGAACATCACAACTGCTCTAAACCTCGTGGGTAGTATCAAGGAAAGAATCGGGCGGTGTCGAATGTAGGTTTTATTTTGACCACAAAAATGACTCGTAAAAATTATCTGGGGACTGCTGCTGAAAAGCTATAATCAGCCAGTTGCACAACCAGCGATCAGTGCAGAACAAAAGAGCGTGTTTGGGGCGTCCTCTTCTAATTGTTCACTTCCCAGGCTTCCAGAACTACCTTGTAAATTGCAAGCAAAACTTGTCTGACTTTTGTAGTTAGACTTGTAGGCAGCTTGTCGAATGAGTTGGAAACATTGGGTTGCTTGTTTCTGAACTTCTTTTTCCCCCAAGTCCAGCTCTGAGTCGCAGTGTGTAGGGAACACACCTCACAGGCCTGTGGGAACGGGAGAGAAAAACCCGAGCATTAGTGGAGGGGCAGAAACAAACCCGCGGCAGGTGATCCTTGTCTGTAATGCTTGCCGGCTCATTAATAGCTCTCACCTTTGGGGCTCTTCCTTTACTTTTACAAACCGATTTAATATGTAAATGCTGTTTTGAGGACAATAATTCCACTAGGTTGAACCCAGACTCCCAATAAAAAGAAATAAATAGTAACAACAAAGGTCTAAACAACAAACCACAATCGTCCTCCCCTCCCCCAGAAGAAAGGAGAGCTCGGTGAGTGAACTGACCCCTCCTTCACAACCAACCGAGGACACTGCCCTTCACACGCTTTACAAAATTAGCAAAAATTCTTTATTTGCTGCCAAACTAAAAGCACACTAGTAGCCTCAAATCGGAACTCGTAGCTCTTGTGTTTGTTGATGTGCTGGAAAGTTAGTTCCCACTGTGTATTCATTAACTTAATCTGAGGTACTCAACAAGACTCTTCCTTTGAACCTTGCAGATCCCCCTCTTTGGGGCCTACTCCAACGCTCCACCTCCATCACACATTACAGGAAGTAACAAAAGACAAGTCAGACATAAAGACTGAGTAAAACTGTAGAAGAATTTAGGAATGTTTTTCCTCCTCCAGAAGGCAGGTAGGTTGCTATTTATTAAACAGGAAGACTTGTGGATGGGTCCTAGTGCCTGGGGAGGCAGGGTGGTCGGAATAATAATCTAGTCTCTTCCATTGAGCTCATAGTAGCTACTAAGAAGCAAAGGGAAAGCAGGCTGTTACTTCTGATGATGAGGCAGGGGCCATGGATGTTGGAGAGGCCTGAAAATCCTAAAAACATGAGCAGAGATGAATTCATGCACTTGGCAGAAGGTTGGATAAGTTATAATAGTTTCTAATCCATGTGTTCCTTTTTAAAAACTCAACAGTACTTTGTGGCTTATTAAAGAAGAAGAGGGGAAAGACTGTGGATTATAATCAATGGCTCCATTATATTGCCTTTTATTTCAGATTGCAATAGTCTTGACCAAAAACTGCATTTGCTTGTGATAGGAGTGTAAATTTAAAAACCTGTGAAAATTATGCAAGTTCTTGAACAATCAAGAACAAAGTTTAGGAAGCACTGAAATAAAAATTGGGCTCCCGAGGCAAAAAAAAAAAAAAAAAAAAAAAAAGAACTTGAAATTATTTTAGAAGAGTAGAAATTTTTCGTATTTTCTCAGGAGGTCTTAAAAGTTTATCAGGTCTCTTCACATCAAGGACTGCTCTGCTTCCCTCAGTACATCTCAGGCGGGATAAACCACACACTTGATACTCCCCTTCCACAAGGATTTAAATACTGGCTTTCTGTGATTGGGAAGGAGTGGGACACTTAAATCACTGGCTCTGACCAAAAAGGGGATTGGAAGAGTCTCAAAGAAAGTCCAAAGAAACTATAACTGTTTCTATTTGCCATTAATGAAACGAACAAGGCTGTCTTGCATTCTTTTAATAAACAATTTTTAAGTGATGAACAGTTTTAGAAGCTTCTGAATTTGCCAAATATGCTCTGCTTTTCTTTTCTTTTTTGTTTTGTTATCTTTCAAATGTGGGGAAGAAAACCCAAAGTACTGGACAGATTTGACAAGACGATGGAAGCCCCTCCTAAATGCATTTTGCATTTTGTTTACGGCAGTTCTAACTGAATAGAGATATATTTTTTTAAGTGAGAGCTTTAAGTTAGGTTTTGAATAGAAGATACTCATTAACCAATGTTGGAATATCAAGACCTTGATTTCATAAAAGCACCTCTTCAGTCTTTAGGATTAGCAAACTCAGGTCTGATGTTTTAAAGGGAGGGCATAATTGCTACTTTGCAATATTTGTGTTAACTGGCATGACACCTTACTTTCAAACACTTGTCAAAAAGGCAAATCCCGAAAAGACCAGTGAAAAGCAAACAGTGGAAATATTAACTATACAAATAAGTATACCCCTTAGCCAATAATTCTCCTTGTTAGTTCGGTGTCCACCGAAGGAGAAACGTACCGAGGTCAAAAACAGGACTCTGGCCGTTAAGGAGGAGGGAGTGGGGGAGGGGGAGAGGGGAGTGCGCAGGGACACGCGACGAACGTAAAACAAACTGGTAGCATTCAGTCCAGAAGGCAGGTAACGCTCCGGAAGCGGATGAGGTGTACCAGTCAGCTGGGCGCTCCGAAGCTTTCCAGAGACAGGCTGTTTCGTGCTTCTTTGCCTTTTCCTTCAAACCTGGCCCTATGTTGGAGGGGTGCAGCGTGAGGGGGATTTTTCGATGTTGGGAAGTGGCAGGTAGGAAAGGAAACCTGACCTGCCCCAAAAGGCAGCAATTAAAGTCTTAACGGCGACCCATCTGTCGTGGGACGCCACCGCCCCCACCCCCACCCCGCCTTTCCCCTAGCAAAGCCGTCCCCGAGCTCTTTGTCTGAGCAGGGAAGAAGAGGAGACAGGGTCTGAAGCCCCAACAGCAAAAGGAAAGGAAATTTCCAGCTTGGGTGCACCCTGGGTGACTGAGCCCGGGCCCAAGTCCGCTGCGAAGGCGCCTCTCTCTGGACTCGGCTCTAGAGCCCTAAGCTCGCCTCACCCTGCACCTGTGTACGGCTGCAGCCTCCCAGCCCGAAGCCACCCCGAGACCCGAAAGGAGGCATTTCCCAGGCCTAGTTGTTAAGGCCGGTCGCATCCAGACTTTCTCCCCATTTAGCCTTTTGGCTGCCTCCAACTTCCAATAGGACTCACGTCTCCTCCCCCCCATCCTTAGCAATTGCGTGTCCCCACCACCCATCCCGCTGCTCTGCTCCGCCGCTGGACACAAGGCGCGCGTCCCCAGCCCTGGCTCTCTGCAGTGTCCACCCCTCTCGGCTCGCACGGCCGGGGCGGGGCAGACCCTCACGAAAAGCCAGAGTGAGTGGCCTGTGCTGAGCATTGTGGTAGGGAGGCGGGATTATTTTGAGGCAAATTTCCTCCGTTTGGGGTCCAACTTCTCATTTTGGGGTGACACTGCTCAGAGGCTCAACAATCCCAGGTTATATAGTCTGCATCCAGGCTCCCACTGCTGACCCTTTCCAGGCCTCTTGCAAGAAGTCACCCACACCCACCCGTCACCACCCGTTCTACACGCACTCACTGAGGGTAACTCACCAGGTAGATGACACCCTGGGCTGCAGCGGGTGGTCACTCCCAGGGGCTTGCGGGCCGCAGGGTTCTGAACTGGCGCGTTTGCGCTCTTCCTCCACTTCGTGGCTCGGGCTCGCGGCCGCCGATCTCTCGCCGCGCAGTTGCTAGTCCCACGGCTAAGCTCTGCGGGATCGCAGGCTTGCAAAGGGGAGCAACCAGGAGCGTGAGCGCTGCAGTGGTCGGCGCGCTCCGGGCCGCGCCTGCCTAGGCGGCGGGAACCCGCGCAGCACGGAGGAGCAGCCACCGGAGCCTTCCAGGAACACCCCTTACGCTCTACCGCTCCTCGCCGAGTTTTGACAGAGGCGCCAGACCCGAGGGCGCCGGCATATTGGGGCGTTGCAGGGACTAGGTCTGCGCGCGCTCGCGTGCCCGCAGGTCCCGGTGCTCGCCGCCGCGCGGTGAGCACACGCACCCAGGCTGCCTCCTGCGCTGCTTTGACAAGTGGTGGGGACTCCAGCAGTAGGGACATGGAGGGCTGGGAGTGGAATCATAGGTTGTTTCCGTTCTCTGCTTAACTTTCAGTATCTAAAATGCTCCGAGAGAGCTCTGAGAGCAGGTACTAAACATAAATATTTTTTCTGGGTTCTCAGTTGAAACGTATAAAAGCGCGCGCGTGTGTGTTCGTGTATATCGGGGGTGGGGTCGGGCCGTAGCCGAGGTTTCTTGTCGTGTGATACCCGCCTATTCCTTGCAACTCCTTCTCAACTTTGTGGATGGAGTGCGGCTTTCCCAAACTTCTGTCAAGGTACCACATTTACAAAACCACAAATACATAACAAGCCTCCCAAGGCCTTTAATTCTCAGGGACGTTTTGTGAGGCCAGTTACCTGCTGGCGTCTTCCAAGTGGTCCAGATTCGGCTCGGGCCGCAGAGACTCCGGGATGCCAGGAGTCCTCAGCCCCGGGCCCCAGAGGAGCCCTAGAAAGAGGGCTGCGGAGGAGGCGGCGTGGCTTTGACCTGGGCCCGGTGTCGGCCCGGCGGAACCGTGCAGAGAAAGCTCGGATTTCGCTGCTGTCGGTTTCCCGGCCGTGGCTTTCTGGAGCCTGGCGTTTCATAAATATAGCCGGGCGTTTGCCCCTGAATTAGACTCCGTTTCCTTATTTAGCCTTTGCACAATGATTTTAGATGATGTCACTTAGAGCTAAACGAGAAAATTGATCTCAGATTTGCTTGGCCTTTAAAGCCTGGTTAAGCAGATTGAGAATTAAAAAGACAGAGGAAAAAGCAAAGGGGCGGGGGAGGACGGCGAGGTGTGCGCCCGAAAGACTGTGCGCAGAGGGGAGGGCGTGCCGCGCGGCGAAGAGCGCCCCCGCCTCTTTTGGGCGGGGGAACTTCACTCACCAATGAAAAGTAGTCACTGACTGCGGAGAAAAAAAAAGTTTTCCTGTTGACTGTTGGAAGCGAATTGAGCAATTATCTAGTTTACCTTCTCCTCTTGGAAGTTAACGATTGGCGAGATCTTGGCTGCGTTATTGACACAACACTTTCTATTGATAGAAATAAGTAGTGATTGTCCTCGAGTCATTGGTGCGCCAAGAACTCTGCGATGGGCTGGCAGGAGTCCATTGGGCTGGGCAGGCAGGTTCGGCTGGTGATGCTGGGGAGGAGGAGGAGGAGGCTGCTGGTGGTGATGGTGCCCGTCCTCCTCTCCGCAGGTCTGTGACAAGCAGGGAACAAGGCAACGACGGCGCAGCCTGGCCCCGGCTGACGGACGCTGGCGACTCAGAGATGGACAGTAGCTGCCACAACGCGACTGCCAAAATGTTAGCTACTGCTCCGGCCCGGGGCAACATGATGAGCACCTCCAAACCCTTGGCTTTCTCCATCGAACGAATCATGGCGCGCACCCCAGAGCCCAAGGCCCTGCCCGTCCCCCACTTCCTTCAGGGAGCCGTGCCCAAGGGGGACCCCAAGCACTCTTTGCATCTTAACTCGTCGATCCCTTGCATGATCCCCTTCGTGCCTGTGGCGTACGATACGAGCTCCAAGGCTGGAATGACGGGCTCGGAGCCGCGGAAGGCGAGTCTGGAGGCTCCGGCGGCACCCGCGGCGGCGCCCGCAGCGCCCGCGTTCAGCTGCAGCGATCTGCTCAACTGCGCGCTGAGTCTCAAGGGCGACCTGGCCCGGGACGCGCTGCCGCTGCAGCAGTACAAGCTGGTAAGGCCCCGTGTGGTCAACCATTCTTCCTTCCACGCCATGGGAGCCCTGTGCTACCTGAATCGAGGTGACGGCCCCTGCCACCCGGCAGCCGGCGTTAACATCCACCCGGTGGCCTCCTACTTCCTCAGTTCCCCTCTGCATCCTCAGCCAAAAACGTATTTAGCTGAAAGAAATAAACTGGTGGTCCCGGCGGTGGAGAAGTACCCCTCGGGAGTAGCTTTCAAAGACTTGTCCCAGGCTCAACTGCAGCATTATATGAAAGAAAGCGCCCAGCTTCTGTCGGAAAAAATCGCGTTCAAAACCTCTGACTTCAGCCGAGGCTCTCCTAATACCAAGCCCAAAGTTTTCACTTGCGAAGTGTGTGGAAAGGCAAGTACTATGCAGGAGGGAGGTCTTCCTTCCTTCCTTCCTTCCTTCCTTCCTTCCTTCCTCCTTTCCTCCTTCTTTCCTTCCCTCCTTTCCTCCTTCTTTCCTTCCCTCCTTCCTTCCTTTCAAATTTCATTTTATTTTTGTAATTATTTGTATACATTTTCTATAAGGTTATTTCCTCCCTCCCCCTGCTCTGCCGCGCTTAATTTCAAAGTACTTGTTGGGCTAACCTGTTCTCCATGTGTTTAACTTTAAGGTCTTTAACGCACACTATAACTTAACCCGTCACATGCCAGTGCACACAGGAGCCAGACCCTTCGTTTGCAAAGTGTGTGGAAAGGGCTTCCGGCAAGCCAGCACCCTGTGCAGGCACAAGATCATTCACACCCAGGTGCGGAACGGTTGGTAGAAAAATAGCCGCTAAACCCTGGCTGTTTAGCATAAGGTTTAAAATGTGCTAGCTGGACAGGAGGAAATGCCATGTTTTTGCATTTGTTCTGCCTAAAAACACGGGAGACAGCATTACTGTGTTTTTGAGTTTGCAGGACTCCACAAAATACCTTAACTTCTCTGCTTTTCTTCCCTTCCCCTTAGGAAAAACCTCACAAATGTAACCAGTGTGGCAAAGCATTTAATAGAAGTTCCACTTTAAACACGCATACCCGAATACACGCAGGCTACAAACCGTTTGTGTGTGAATTCTGTGGCAAAGGATTTCATCAAAAAGGTATAGAACGCAGGAGGCGTTGCCTTTCACCAGTAGTCTTACTGAAAGTTCCAATCTTTTCCGGGTATTTTGGAAAAATGATTTTTAAAGTGCACCTAGTTACTGGTGCATCTGTTGCCATTCCAACCTCCTGCCCTTGCATCTGATCAGTAATAGAGAAAGACATGGTTTATACACTGAGGGGTATTTCCGAGCGGCTTGTTCTCGTTTTATATAACTGGGTTAATAAATATGTTTTAAAATGTGGAGGGGATGGCCTCATTGCTGATATTTACAAGTAAACGTGGGGAGAGAAGTGCCGGTGCCCGGCGCAGCCCGCACCTGCTGTCCGAGCTGTGGCAGCTCTTCCTCTCGCTTTGCAATAGTCCACTCCTCTCTTTTCAAGCTCTCAACTTAGACCCACGTCCCTGTCATCTGTCTGTTTCAGGGAATTACAAAAACCACAAGTTGACCCACAGCGGGGAGAAGCAGTTCAAGTGCAGTATCTGCAACAAGGCTTTCCACCAGGTTTACAACCTCACCTTCCACATGCACACTCACAACGACAAGAAGCCGTTCACGTGCCCCACGTGTGGCAAAGGCTTCTGCAGGAACTTTGACCTCAAGAAGCACGTCCGCAAGCTACACGACAGCAGCCTGGGGCTGGCCCGCACGTCCGCTGGGGAGCCCGGCACGGACCCGTCGCCCCCTCTACAGCAGATGCCGCCTGCTACCCTGCCGCCGCTGCCGCCGCCGCTGCCGCCCCCTGGTCCCCTGCAGCCCGGGCTCCACCCGGCCCACCAGTGATCAAGGCCAAAGTCCCTTCCCAGCCGCATTCGGGCCCCACTACCGAGGCAGCGGGGGAATAGAGCTGGTCCTGCAGACCCAAGCTCGTCTGCAGACCCCAGGGCGTGTTGGGCCCCACGTTAGCGCCTACCAGAAGCCTCTGCATTTACCCCGCCTTTAGCCTCTTGCATGCACCTGCTAAATGGTTCTGTGTATTATATCCTATATACGCACTAACGATTATGAGAAATTGGGGGTTTTGTTTTCTGATTTTTTTTAAACAAAATTCTGCTGTATTTATTGAGATCTGTATTATCCTACCCGGGAATGCTGCACCATTTTAATTTTATTATTGTATATATTTCCATTGTGTTATTCTGCGGTCTCAAGATGCCTGCCGATTGTTTATCATTTCCTCTTTCCCTGAGGTAACAAAACACTGTGTGTATGTTATATATACACGCATAGATGTGTGTGCCTGTAAAGGCACATTTCACAGTCGTGAGCGCGCGCACACACACACACACACACACTAGAAAAAGGTGGTTCATTATGGATGAATTTGAATTTTGGTTTTGATTCTTGCACGTGAAAATTGATTCATTGACTGTTGGAAATAAATACTTGGAACATGCTTATTTAATCAACAAATGTAAGGGCTCCGTTCATATTATTCAGCTAGAGATCACTATTCTGACCCCCCTCATCCTTCCACATTCTTTGAAAGTTCAACCCTGGGTTAGTACCTCCTAATGTTTGTTCTGAGAAATTCACCAAGAACAAAATAATATAGTCTCTACACAGTTACAACTTCGGCCCAAAGCAATGAAATTTGACAAAGTTCAGAGGCAGAAGATGTGAAGTTTTCTAACAAACGTCTTTGTCCTGGGCCATCTGATCTGTTTGAAGTGCTGGTTAAATGGAAACAACGTATCTAGGAAATGTGTGTAATATACATCCCAAACGAGCATCAGGACAATACCATACAGAAAGGTATCTATTGTTTGCATCCTGAATGCACACAGGCACTTGTACACAGCTGGCAAAAAGATCCTCCGTGTTTTTATGTGTATATATGTTTATAGACGAATATACTTCCAATCAAGGAGGGAACATGGATGAAAACCAAACTGTGTCGGGTGCCAGGTCCTTGAAATGCTTCAAGTGTTAATCAGCAGCTCCACTGTGAGCTCGGGCTCTGGTGTTTTCTAACTGCAAGTCTCTCCTGTTTTCTTGCCAAAACAGTGAAACAACTGCTAAAGACTTTAATTAAGAGGGGTAATTAGTTCAGATTTATCAAAGCCGGGTTGTTATACTATTAGCTGCTCAGTAGAAGCTGCCAGACAAACTCGCAGAGCAGCACAGCCACCCCACCGCAGCGGGACCACATCCGGGGAGAGATGCAGTGGACAGCGGGCCGCAGGGGTCCCCGCCTCGCCACCGCGGTCCCGGCACCCCTGCCCGCCCGCAGGGTGCGTCTCGGCCCCTCCCCTCGGCCTGGCGCTGTCTGCAGTCCTGGCGGTGGCGAACAACCCACCGCAGATCCACACCGCGGGCACAGGCTCCAGAGAAGCCTAGATTCTCTTCCCGCGCCTGGGGCAGCGCTGCCTCACTAGCTCTTGGAGCGCCCCGATGGTTGCATGAGAGAGGCGCGGGGAACGAGTTTAAAAATGTGCTGTGCCGCCTCACTTTTGCATGTCTTTGTGGCGCTCCTGGCAAAGTGGCGCCTTCAGCCAGAGGCGGGACGAAGAACGAACCTGGGCCGGGGGCACCGCGGGGGCAAGGCGGCGATTTCCTTGGCAACCAGAATCTGCATTTCAAGGCCGGGAAGGATTGACGCGGGCGCGGTGAGCCCTCGACCCGAGGGGCTCCTCTGCGGTCCAAAGGGCAGGGAGACGACAGCCCCGGAGAGGACCGCGGGCGAGCAGGTGAGCGGGCCCCGCTGGACACCCTCACCCAGTCCCCTCGGGGCCCCTTTCGGGTTCGGGGAGCTCCAGACGCGTGGCGCGGAGTTGCACCCGAGGGTTCCGAGAACGGGGAATTACTGATTCCAAGTGCAGACATGGGGTCCAGCCTCCCCTCTGCTCTTACCCAAAGACGCACGCCCTTCGGCATCCCACCGCCCTCGCGCACTGGGAGTTTTTTAAGTCCCGGCCCAGCAATCATTAGATGGAATCCCCACGTTTTTCTTTTCCTGGCCTCCCCACACCCCATCTTATCCTTTGCTGCGCCCAGATCCATGTTGGGGTTGCCTCAGAAAGAGATGGAGAGGTTTGGAATCCCGTAGAGTTGGGTGGTTTCTGAATCTACGCGGCAGGTGGAATTGTGGTCGCTCCCTAAATAATGTAGAGGCCGACTGAAAAATCTTGTCCCAGGCGCTAGCTGCAATCGTTTTCACAGTTGCCCACGCCATAGAGGGAGTTTCAGGAAATGTCTCATAGTTTAGAAGTAACTACCTTTTGGAGGTGGTTTCGGCGCATCTTGAAAGCATTTGTTCTCTTTGAGTAAACATAATGAGGTCAGGGGTCATTTTAAAGGGCAGAAAATGGCCTTTGCTTCGTGAACTTATTCTCAGTAAGTATTTGAACTTACTCTCAAAACCCCGGGAAGTAGTTCTTTCAACGTGACACGATTTTACTGGTGAAAAACAAGTTGAACAATGTTGAGGAAAATTACTAAACCATAAAATACTTGCAGGGAGAAAGTACTTCTATGTGGTAGTATCCCCACCCTCTAACCCATGCCAGTGTGCTTTGACTTATATTAAAAATAGACATCTCTGGAAGGAAAAATTAGGTTGGGGGGTGGGAGAATGAGAGAGGGAGAGAGAGAGAGAGAGAGAGAGAGAGAGAGAGAGAGAGAATGTGTGTGTGTGTGTGTGTGTGTGTGTGTGGAGTGGGGGGGGTGTCTGTTACTGTAATCTGGAATGACTGTATAGGTCTAATTTGGGGAGGTACAATGGTTCCAGAGAAGGCAGGCAAAAGGAAACGTTGTCTATCTGCTCACAGGTTTGAGTAGCCTGAAGCGGTGGTGATTAAGTAGGCGAAGCCAGAAGGAAATTCTCTAAAATAAGCACTCAAGAGGACTACTTGTCTGGAGGCGAATTATGGATGAACTTTGATTTATGACACAGCTGGTAGAGCTTACTAAACATCAAGGACAATCTCCTTAAAGATAGGATGAGTTTAGAGATTAAGTGGGAGGGGCAGGTAAAAATTGATGAAGAGGGATACTTAGCTAATAGTTGATGGAAGACTTTACAATTCTACCCCCTCTGACAAATATTAAAAGGTGTTCTTCCCCTAACTGTTCAACCTGTGTATGTCTGTATGTGCTTACATAAATGTTTATGTTCATTCATGAAACGCGTACCATAAAAGTATGAATCGCAAATTGGCTTATCCCAGTCCACCTTCTTTTTACCAGCAAACTCAGTTGTTTGGTCAGTTTTGGAAATCAGAATATAGTACAAAACGAATAATGTAAGTAGTTAATTCCTACCAGTTTTAACACAGAATGCAAATCCTGATTTCCAAAAATATCTTCCCAAAGCATATAATTTGTTCAGACTTTCAAAATTTTAGTTGGAGAACGAGTTATTGTGCAAGATTAGAACTAAAGTGTCCATTTTTCACTAGTAAACAAAAGCATTATTTAGGGGCCTCATGAAAGAAGTTACTTGTTAGTGAAGTTTGAAGGTTTATGAATTTTGTGTAGAACTTTGATCCTTTACAAATGTGAAAGAAATGAATCAAAAAATGCAATGGAGTCATGATTCCCAGAATCTGTGCACCCTGTTTGATAGATGCTTCTTTTATTAGTAGTAGTTAGCAATGTCAGAAATCATAATACAACTCAAAGCATTGACTGAATTATAACTATAATGGGTATGTTTTGTCTTTGTAAAATACTCATCCTAAAATAGACAATATAAAATATAAATTACTTCAAATTCAAAATCGGTGAAGAAACAAAAATATTTTCGTCATCACTTGTAAACCCCTGTAATGGGTAGATTTTTGTTATACTTTGTTTATGGTTTTAAGAGATCATAACTTACTCTGTTACCAAACTGTATATTTAAATTTTTTTTAATGTTTATTTACTTTTGAGAGAGAGAGAGCGTGAGCAGGGAAGGGACAGAGAGAGAGGGAGACACAGAATCCGAAGCAAGCTCCATGCTCAGAGCTGTCAGCACAGAGCCCGACGCGGGGCTCGAACTCACAGACCGGAGATCATGACCTGAGCTGAAGTGGACGCTCAAGCAACTGAGCCACCCAGGCGCCCCTAAACAGCGCATGTTTAAAAGCATGAAAATTAAAGACGACTGAACTTCAATGGGTAAGAATATGAAGTTGTTGACTGGTCCTGAAAAAAAAAATTTGAACCAGATAAAACATTGCCTTTTTGCTATGTTTGCCAAACCCCAGATTACTTTCACACAAGAAATTATATACTTCCACTAGGTTAATTAAAAACCAAAAAACCATATTTGTAAGGAGAACATACTTTGTTATGAATTTCATTGTTTCTAGAAATCAAAGCATATGTTCATTCCAGCTCCAGGGCATACCAACTAAAAACAAATATTGTAAAGATACATTAACACACTGGTCATTTGTGTACTCTTAGTGTTGAAGCAATTGCCAGTTCAAGCCAGAGTAGGGTCCCTCACTCCAGGCAATAGAGAAGAGGAGGAGGCCTGGTGTTTAAATGACCTTGGTAGGAAAACCTGCCTCTGTTATATTTTTCTGCTTCTATTGTGATATGTTGCTCACAATGAACTTTAAGCAAAAGTCAGAATCCATCATGCACTTGAATGGGCACAAAGTTATTCCAAAAACCCATGTACTTTTCTGTTCAAGTTTGAGGTGACGTTGGTATCAGATGAAATCATACTGCTATTGGTCTTATGGAGATTAAGTTACTAAATGAAGATGAAATAAAATTCTGTCAATACAAGTCTCCAGGGCTAATATTTTGCTGTCAAACAAATGTTGCTCAAGGGTACAAAGGAGAGA